TTTTTGGATTTATGTACTCTGGTTTCCAAAAAAGTGGGAATAACATAACTAGACATCCTTTTTGTTTCTAAGAGTAGGAGTCTTAAAGCCGAGTAGTTCATGTTCGAGCTAGTGTGTTTGTTTGATAAACGAGTCGGTTTTGTCTAGACTTTTGTAGCTGACTGGTTTAGTAAACGAGTCAAGTTGACTTGTTTAACCTCATGCAAGTCATGTTCGACTCGACAAATAGACGTAAAACCTGAAACGAGCTGAATGTCGGTTGGTGAACAATTTCAGCTCAACGACGTCATTTCAACAATTTCAGCTCAACAACATCATTTCGAACCTACAATAAATAAATAAATAAATAAATATATTATATATGAGTTGTCCACAATGAAGTTCGGCTCAACTCGATAATATAAGTGTTCGTTAACTGTTTGATCTCAACTCATTTAAGCAATCAAACAAACCGAACTTTAGCTCTCACGAGTCGAATCGAGTTGTGTTCATGAACAACTCGAGTCGATAATATACATGTTCGTTAACTGTTTGATCTCAACTCATTTAAGTAAACAAACAAACCTAACTTCAAAATTTCAAGAGTCGAATCGAACTATGTTCATGAAAACTCGAATTACTCTAACCAAACGAAGAAGTAGAGCTCGAGTTTTCACGAGTCAGAATTTCGTTGTGTTTGCAAAGAGCTCTATTAACAGCTATTTGCACCATAGGAAAACAATAGGAAAGAAAGATATAATTTTTTATATTTTATATATTAAAAAAAAATGAGCCGCATATATAAATACCACCCTCTCTGTAAATTCTTCGATCACCGGAGCCCGCCCAAGCCACGGCGATTTGAAATTGAGCAAAGAGTTAGCTGGCAAATAACTCCGAAACCTACCTTTTGCCCATTTTCAAAGCGCCATCCTTCACTCGCCGCTTATTCCTCCATTTTGGGGTTCTGCTGTCAACCCTAATTTGAGGTACTTTCAATCTTTTGCTTTTCTCATGCTAAAGATCAATAATTTCGTTCTTCTTTTTCAGTGGGTATTTAATTTTTTTGTAAAATTGAGTGTTGATTTGCTTGATTTAACCGTTTGTGGTTGGATTCGTATAAAGTTACGTTCTTTTGGGGCGGAATTTTCTCCGGGACTCGTGTTTGTTTTGCAATTAAGCTGATGAAAAACTTCAAGGTTCGCAAAATTCTTGAGTTTTCTTTGATTTCTAGGTGTACTTATAGTTATTTAATGTTTCACTTTCTGTTGATTCTGATGAGTTGTGCCTGTGATCTGTATACTAAATTCAAATTATGTTTCTGTCCAGAAATTGTGAAAAAATGGCGTTTCTTACAATGTAAGAGCCCACTGCAGTTGCCCATAAGCTGTTTGTGAAAATGACACCACGATATAATTTAGTTTTGTTGTGTGCAGTTGTTAGTTTTGTGTTCAATGATTCGATCTTTCTCGAATAGTATTCTATTTATGTGGACGAATGACAGTAGCAACAAATTTTATTGTTTTATATTTTCTTTTACATAGAAAGTACTTCCCATTTGATCCAAACCAAGAGACAATTCCCTCGTTATTTCATGATCAAAGTTTTATTTATTGCTTTATCTGAATCAGTCTATACAGCCTTTTAACGCCAAAATTTGAAGGAAAAGAAGAAGAAGAAGAAGAAAATGTTTACTTCTTAGTGCATGTTTTGTTTCATCTTAGTCTGTTATTTCTGTATGATTTTCTGGGAATTATATGTTTGAATTTCACACAACAAGAATGTGAATCTTTCGTATGCATTTTGGTTGGATGAGCTTAACACAGTTATTTACAGAAGTTCCATTTTTATATTCAATTTTTTTTTTTTTTAAATTTAATTGTTGTTGGATAATAAACAGGCTATGGCGCATGTAGAACCTGCAAACATGGACATGAGTCCGTATCAAGCCGAAAGCGGGCCCAGAAAACCTCGCATTCTTCTTGCAGCCAGTGGAAGTGTAGCGGCCATAAAATTCTCTAACCTCTGCCATAGTTTTTCCGAGTGGGCTGAAGTTAAAGCAGTTGCTACTAAAGCATCACTACATTTTGTGGACAGGGTTTCACTTCCCAAGGATGTCATTCTTTACACCGACGAGGATGAATGGTCGACTTGGAAGAAAATAGGCGACACTGTGCTTCACATTGAGCTGCGAAAATGGGCCGATATAATGGTCATTGCACCTTTATCAGCTAACACACTTGCTAAGGTAAAAATAAAATAAAATAAATAAATAAATAAATAAAAAATAACACTCCGAAATTTTTTCATTGGAGATGTAATTTCTTCTTGTTGTGGAAAAAAAAAAGAACACGAGGGTTTTACTAACCACAACTAGGAAAAGGGGCTCAGCTATCTTTCATATTAAGAATTACTGCCTTCATACTGGTTCTCTTTTTTCCACCCCCTCTAATTGTGACAAAGTAGCTTATTTTATCACTCCCTAAAAAGGAAGAAAAAAAGGGAATCATCGTCAAAACTGAAGGAAAATTAGAAAAAAAAAAGGTATATGACTCGAGTGTTTATGCTTATATTTATATTCTGTATGACTTTCGTTGAACTCTGCTTCTGTGTTTGTGGCTTGAATTAGATTGCTGGGGGCTTTTGTGATAACCTGCTTACGTGCATTGTTCGGGCATGGGACTACAGTAAGCCGATGTTTGTGGCTCCAGCCATGAACACCTTCATGTGGAACAACCCTTTCACCGAACGACACTTAATGGCCATTGATGATCTCGGAATCTCTCTCATTCCACCTGTGAGAAAGAGGCTTGCTTGTGGGGATTATGGTAATGGGGCAATGGCCGAGCCTTCGCTGATATATTCTACCGTGAGGATTTTCTTCGAAACTCGAGAACAGTCAAGTGGTGCCAGTGTTTAGTAAGAACGACCAAATGTGAACTTGTGTTCCTATAGTCTGTAGGTTGTAGTATATTGATGTTTGTTTGCTAGTAGAGATGATGATTCTGTGTACTTTTGAGCTTGGGAGTGTTGTGGTTATGCCAAAGATTCCTTACTAATATTTTGTTATCTTCGTTTTTAACTTTTTTTTTTTTTTTTTGGTATATTAATTGGCTTTACATTGATCTACTACATGTCTTCCTAGTTTTCTTAGCTTGAGATCATTTTGAATTTTAGATATTTCGTAAAAATAGTAAAATACACATTAATTTCGTGGTTGACAATAATTTATGTAAATTTAAATTTATGGTGTACGAGTATTATAAAGTTTATAAAAAAATTATTTAATTTAAATTGTAAAATACATTTTTAAGATTAATGTTAAAATTTATGAAACACATATTTAAAATTTATTTGTTTATCAGTTTTTTTTTTTCTTATATACTATGAAATATCAAAATATTTTTTTTATGATATTTTGTTTGACATTTATGTTTTATATATAAATAAATAATAATTAAATTTCTTAGAAAAATTAAATTATCTATGAATCCTAATTAAAAATTTTTAAATTCATCATTTCTCAATTAAATTTTTCTATCAATCTGTTATATGATACGAATTTAAAGATGACAGATATCATTTCAATTAAAATTAATGATTATTTTTAATAATAATTATTAAAAATTAAAAAAAAAAAATAACTATAAATTTCTCAATTAACACACTATTATATCACACAAGCCCAAATAGTCCACTGGACCTTATTGTACCTCCAGAGGCCCAAGAAACAGCTATAAATTCAAAACGTCCTTCAAACAAGAGACGAGTAGCTGAAGGAAAATTTAAGAAATTTGCTCGGACCATAAACCCTAATTCGAAGATGATTATTCCCGTTCGCTGCTTCACCTGTGGCAAGGTAATCATCAATTTCAATTCAAATCACGCATCAATTGTTTCGTCTCTTTGATTCAGTAATTTAATTCCTTTACAGATTTTGTTTTTTCAGCTCAAGAATCTATTTTTTTGTCCTATTTTCTATCTTTGTGTATACCCCAAATATGTTCAGGTGATTGGGAACAAATGGGACACGTATCTTGATTTGCTTCAGGCCGACTACAGTGAAGGGTACGTGTTTTATCTACGTGAAATGAGATTATTGTGTAGTTTTTTTGAATGAACATTCTGTAGACCTAAAGCTGAGTTGTGCGACTTTATGCACGGGTCTATGATTTTAAAGCGAAAGTCTTTTGGTGGATTTAACTGGGGCACATATTGGTGGATGTTAGTCATAGATTTTAGAACTTATGTACGAGTTTGCAGATATGTCGATGGTTGTAGGATGCTTGAAATGTCAATTGAACCTAAAATATATGTGGGATATGGATGCTTGCTTCTCCGAGTACCCGTTATTTATTCTGCACGAAAACTTTCCAAAATGTAACTATGTTGATTTGCTTCATGCTGATTACAGTGAAGTTCATGTATTTTATATACGCGAAGTAGAATTATTGTGTGCCCCCACTTATTTTTGAATGAACATTTTGTAAACCTAAGCACAGTTATGCGCCAAAATTCTTTTGGTCGATTTAGGTGGGACTCAAATTTGTGGATGTTAGTAGTAGATTTTAGAATTTATAGACGAGTCTGCAGACGTGATGATTGGTATAGGGCGCTTGAAGTGTTAATAATTGCACCTAAAATGTGGGTGGGATGATGTTGCTCACTTGCTTGTTTCTCCCAAGAACCCTTTTCATTCTGCACGAAAACTTTCCGAAATGCATTTATAGTGTGTACGTGAAATAAATTTAAGCTGATCACTATTTTGGGAAAAGTTGCCCTGTTAAAGAATATTCATGCATTGATTAGCCTCGTTTCTGGAATAATTTTGGAGTTTTGATTTGTCTTATGTATCACTGTGTAGGGATGCCCTTGATGCTTTGGGTTTGGTTCGTTATTGCTGCCGAAGAATGCTGATGACCCACGTCGATCTCATCGAGAAGCTTCTGAACTATAACAGTATTTCTCTCCTCTCTCCATCAATATATTTATTTGTGTCCTTTTCTTATTGTGGAACAAACTTAATCATCTATGAACTTGAAAACAGCCGTATATGAATTGCTTTAGAATTCATATTCGGATCATAGAACAAGAGCAAAGGGAAGTATCTCGAAAAAGAATGATGTACTGTAATAAGTCAGATTTGTTGTTCTTTGGTATAAAATTTTGCTCACTCTTGGGTTTCTGCCTTTGTTCTTTCTCGTTTCTTTTTTTTTCTTTTTTTTTTTTCCAGCTTTGGAGAAATCTGAGGGCAGTTGATGCTACGTGGAAAAGATCCAAGTTACACTGTGCGCTTCGATTCTGAGATGTCAGTAGTGTTGTCTGTAAATTGTTCAAGGAAATATGACTTTTCATGAGAGATGGTAGAGTACTTTTTGAACAATGCTACTAATTATGGGAGGAGATTTGAAATGAATGATCTGCAGCAGTATTTGATGTGGCCAATGTTCTCTTCTTCTTGTTGTCGTATACATTTTGCATGTTTTAACTTTTAACTGCAGTCTTTATATTAAAGACAACAACTTTAACCTAAAAGAAACATTCATATTGTTGGCGGCCGAATGTTCGAATTCTTGTTGAAATGTAAGCATACTTTCAAGAATATAAGTAGGATTTCTACATGCTCGAGACTTTCTTTGGGGGAAAATTTAAATAGGATCCTTCATTGTGAGCAATTCATTCCACATTTACTACAGGGTAAAAGGCAATACAAAGAGTAAGAGCCAAACCTTTTCTTACACTGGAAAATTATTCTCAAAGAGGAAGTACACATATCTAAATTTACTTTGCAACAACAATGAAGGTAAATTATCTTATTTTACCTTTGCCGGCAAGACTTTTTTAAACTTTCTCTTGAAGAGAAAACCGAAAGCTGCCCCAACAATCGGCCAGCTCGAAATAACAGCTATATAAGCAAGCAGCCAAATCGACTTATTACTTTGTCGAGAAATCTGATAAAAGCACCTCTCAATAAAACCCGAACTGCTCTTAGATCGGCCCCCATTTTCAGATGCACGGAAATCGGGCTTCCTACCGACACTTGCGGGCCCACATTCATTTTCTGTAGCCGATACAATCTGGTCGACACTTGTGGGCCCACATTCATTTTCTGTAGCCGATACAATCTGGTCCACATGATCATCATCATCATGATTGTTTTTCTCTGCAATGCCTTCTGTTGGATCGTTTCCCATAGCTGCCACCATGCCATCAGCCACGTTTAGATACGGGCCTTGATCGATCGAGGATTGGGTCGTTGGGGAATGGGGGCCCACATTTTCAGCCTGCTGTTCAAGAAAACGCGTATTAAATAATATAATGTTGCGAACAGAAAATAAAAGTAACAAAATTAAATTGCACCTTCTTCTGTGTATGCATGAGGGAGCTCGAGAGCAAGGCACCAAGATATTCATTAACAGCTCTCACCCACCTGAAGAAGGACATCGTAATTTCGATTTGTTATTTGTTATTCTTTTTCTAGAAATGGAATATTTCAACTTGAAGATGCTACAGGTAACCAGAGTTTCACAATTAGAGCTTTTTCTATATACATACGAATGAAATATGAACCGCCATTTTAATATCCCTAAGCAGCTAGCACGAGAAAGGGGAAGATATTTTGTTGTTACCGCACTTTAACACAAGCTCACTTCAACTGCATTTTGGTACACGGGAATTAATTGTGTGTGTGTGTGCGTGCGTGTGCAGTATGCATTAGTCAGGATACGAATGACCAATTCAAAGCAAGAGTTCAACTTGTTGCCAAATGGAAGGAATGATTAAACAGTGTTTTCCAGGAGATCACTTAAGAAGTACACTGAAAAACAGGAAAAACACAAGATTCGAAAAATGAAGTACTACCATAGGCGAGATCCTGATATGCCTTCAAAAAACGCGAGATGTCCGCCATGTTGCGTAGTAGCTAGGACTACATTTTTGTTTGCTCTGCAACCAGAGAAAATGATAGGACAAACAAATAATTTATAACAGGCGAATTGATTTAGTGAATACGGATGTTTATTTGGCGAAAGGTTCAGCTTAATTTTAGCTGAAGTGATAGGAAGTTGTGAATCAGAACTTGATAGTGCTTGTAAAGCGAACCTAAAAGTTCATCAAATCTGAAATCCTTACATCTACACAGAGAGAACAATAATAGTTAATAATTTAAAAAAATGTACCGGCATTCATCCCAGGGAATGGCTTCTCGGGTGCAAACTGGATCATCTAATGCACTAATACAGAGCAATGGAACAGAAACTTGACCAATAAAAGCCGAACTGCTACATCGTCTATAGTATGTATCAACAGTCTTAGAGAAGAAAAATGAAAAAGGTAAGTTACAATATTTTGATAACATTTGTGAGCACATAATTAGCATGGTCAAAGTCTTAACAAAAAAGTGTGGTGCATGTGTGTGTGTGTGTGTGTGTGTGTGTGAGAGAGAGAGAGAGAGAGAGAGAGAGAGAGAGAGCGAGAGAAACCTCATAGTTCCCAACGAGACAAGTGGCATGGGTGTCAAAATCCCGAATAGAACGTGACTGCATAAATTACACGAACCACATTCACTAAGCTATTGCTGTCTACCGGAAAATGATTAAAAAGGAAAGCCAGATGATATACACTGAATCTTAATATTGCGATTAATATTGAGAGCCCAGCTCAAACCTTAAGCACAGTAAAATGCACTGGATTTTGATGCAAATGAAGAGATGATTCTCAAAATACAATAAATTTTTACAAGGCTATGAATTTGACTGAAGATTGAGTGGAATCTGGAATTCCATAAATTTTGTACAAAATATAGCAATCATGGAACATTAATGCAGATGATCCATATTAGAAGAAAACGTGAAAAATTAACAAAATTGAGTAACATTCATAATGCGAAAGAAAAAAAAAAAAACTAAGCGTGGTAAAAGGTAATAGCAATCTAGCTATTACTCTCCCTTTGATCAACAGAATCGAGAACATAACAATCCAACCTTTTTAATGCCTTCCCAGTTAGCAAGGCGAGAATAGCGGGTTTCATGGCTGCATTGAGGAATCAAGTGAAGTTAAAATGATCGATTTTTTTTTTTAATTTTTTTTTCATAGACGTCCAAAAGAAATCAAAATTAAAAAAAAAAAAAA